GGCAGCCATTGCCAAATGATCCAAGCTCCGCCCCTTTTTACATGTATTCAATGAATTCATGAAAAAAAGGGGGTGATTCAGTTGTTCAGTCCAGACTGCCACCATTTTGATGCTGTTTACCTTTCCTCCTGATTTCTTGGAAATTGACATAAAATCTATTATAAGCTTCATGACTTTTATTTTTATGATGGTAATATGTGGACTCAACTTTTTGCAGAAAACAGGGCTGTTTTAATGTTACTTTGCAGTCATCAAATTCTTTCTAGGCCACTAACAATTTTTATACAGCTTAGAGGTTTGTACAAAGAATGGCATTGTTTATCTTCAAGTAGAAGCATTTCACTAATAAAGATTGTCCAGAAGTATAGCAAAATAATTTGTGGCTTCAATTACAGTGCTAGCCATGAAGGGTAACCTTACTTGCTTTTTCCATATGCCACTGATATAGAGAATTTACTATTTACACAGACAATAATAACAATTTATTCAGAATAAAAGAGATGCTCTTGCTTGTAAACCTTTGAATTTTAGCACCTGGATAACTAGGAAGGAAACTTCTTATCCCCAATGCATCAGGAAAAGAATTAACATTTAGTTCATGTACTTACTTTATTGCTTATATATGCTTTGATATTGTTGAAATAAAATAGAAGATTGTAGTTTAAGTTCTTTCTTCATAATCACCTTTTCTTAATTCATAGGCTAAAATCTTGCAGTTTTTGTTAAAGTTGATTGTAGTGTAGCCTAAAAGCAGAGTAACTTGATGATAATATAAATTATTTGTTTATTTATTTACTTAGTTATTTAGAAGACAGAGCTGACAGGAGCAAAATTATTAAACTACTGGAAATCGTATGTTATTCTTGAATTGCATCTGGTATGGAATAAATGTGATGCTTGCAAGGGTCTGATCCATTTGAACTATTTTGAAGAATAAAATAGTATTCTTTAGGGAATAAAAATGTTTGATTAGGTCATACATGGTCCTATCTGTGGTAATCATTGGCAGCAAGTACATTATAATGCTTTTTAAATTATAATTTATATTTTATGTTTCATTTTCTTCCTCTATAATCCTGATAGCCTGCCAAGTAATGTTACTGAATATAACTGAAGAACAAAGGGAAGTAACCAAAGGGAAAATATTAGTTAAAATGATATTTGATCAGTAATTATTGCTGAATTTGGAAGTGAAATATGGTTTACTCATGCTAACTTGTAAGAATATCAGTAAAGTTAATGCTCTTTGTGCTGCCGCTAACAGTATCTTTGGAAAATCCCTTAAAGAACTTTTCCAAAATTTCTTTCCAGATTTTTGATCTGCTTTCTCCGAAAAGCTATGGAACATAACAAGCTACACCTGTATAAACAAGAGAATTAATATAGGCTAACCGCTGGATTGTGAAGTAGCAAGTTAGGGTACCACTAGATGACACTAATGAGTTTTCTGTCCTCTTTGCTACCATCTAGGAGTTGTCTAGCTGTTTGCAGTTCAGATTTGATAATCCCAGTAATCTCACTCACTCATCTTTACTATTAAATTGACACGGATAGGATTTCAATATAAATAAACCTATTGCCTTACTACCATATATTATTGTTATATCAGATTGAATATTTATTTATTTATTTATTTATTTATTTATTTATTTATTTATTTATTTATTTATTATTTAAATTTATATACCACCCTTCTCCCGAAGGACTCAGAGCGGTGTACAGCCAAAAATAAAAACATACAAATTTAAAACAATTTAAAAGTATATTAAACAAATTTGGCCCATATTGATTAAAAAAACCCTTTTTTAAAAAAATGAATTAAAAACAATTAAAAGAGCTACGCCAGCCCGGCTTGCTGGAATAGAAAAGTTTTGAGGGCACGGCGGAAGGTGCGTAGATCCGGGATGTGCGTAGAATATAACCACTGAATATAGTTTCCCAGAATAGTTGGGACTGAGGAGTGGTGAGGTTTTTGGGATTGGGTGTTGGATTGTCATTGCTAATTATGAGCTCTAATAGCAATAGCATTTATATACTGCTTATAGTGCTTTTACAATCCTCTCTAAGCAGTTTACAGAGTCAGCATATTGCTCCCAACAATCTGGGTCCTCATTTTACCCACCTCAGAAGAATGGAAGGCTGAGTCAACCTTGAGCCAGTGAGACTCAATCTCCTGAACTGCAGCTAGCAGATCAGCTGAAGTAGCCTGCAGTACTGCATTCTATAACCACTGTACCACCTCTGCTCTCTACAGTGAATAAAGTGATACTTCCTGTAGAATGACCTTCCCTGGGTCAATAGCCTTCTAGCTCTATCACATCACAATTCTTATTCTCTCCAACCAACATCTATCATATGCTGCCTATCAGGTTAGATCCATGTAATTTGAATCCATATCTTTTGCATGAAATTCCTATAGGAATATTTATTCTTATAATATGAGATACTGAAGTGCAGGCAGGCAAAAAAAAATCTTAAAACTTCTGTGACTACATTAAATAAGAATTATTCAGGAAAATTAATTAAGAGATATATATCATGTGGTCTAATCAGTTTTGTAAGTATGATAACAATAAACCACAATAAGAACTTATTTTAGAGTAATGCCATTCTATTTCACAAACCTTTTATGATTTATAGGGGATATTCCTTTATGTATTCCTATGAAATGCTAGAACCAAATGATCTATCACATCATGATGAAACTTGCCTATGCAAAATCTTTAAACCACTAAGTAATATGACTTAATTTGGCTTCTATTGACTTGATGTATAAGGTGCTTCCAGACAGAGCTACTAGCACTATCAATCAAAAGTTACCATGTAACTTAAAAAAAAAACCTAAATACAGTACTGCATTTTGGAAAGAAAAACAATGGAGAAGTTGATGGGAAAAGACAGATTAAGTGGAGTGTGCCTCTGGATCCTTTTTACAAGTCAGTGAATAAGGCTGAATGATTATGTAAAAGCTCCATCTAGAACAAGCATTATTGAACTTCATAAAAATAATGTTCAAATTTACTAATACTGTGTAAAAATAATCACATTTTGTTTACATAGGATTCTGTCTTAACGATAATTATGGAAATAGATCTGAATGTACCTTGGAGTAGTCTTCACTTCTGGTGACTTACAAGTGCCTGCTACATTTTTGGAAGTGGTTACCATTGCCCTTTTCCAAGGGCTGAGACAGAGTGACTTGACCAAGTTACCCAGCTGACTTCATGTCTAATGCAAGACTGGAAGTCATGACTTTGTGGTTTCTAGCCTAATACTTTAACCACTAACCCTCTTACATGTAGCTCTGTTTATGACCCTGTAATCCCCTAATTTGGGGTAGTTGCGACAACTGGATGGAGCTGAGTATTTACTGGCCCGGGCATCTGGCCAGTAAAAGCTCTTATATATAAACTTTGAAAATTATTAGTAAGAAGTGGTTTGGATTTCAGGCAAATGCTACATATTCTGCTATTCCTCTAAAGTACTCCAGGTTTTTTTATAGCTTTGAGACAAACCTGAAAAAGGACCACTGTTTTAAGGATTATATTAGTTTTAATGAATGGATTGCTTTAATCAGTAACCCCTTTTAAAGGCTCTTATGGAAATCTGAAAACGATCAGACTGCTCTCATAGAAAGGAACTGCTATGTTGCACATCTGCAAGTCTTAAGCGCTTCTGAGTTATTTTCATATGTGCTTAATATGGATGTGTGTTTACTTATTTATTTCAGGAATAAAAATTATGCTGCTTTACAGTGATTCTTGTTGAAACAATATGATGCAGTTTTCTTGCTAAGGATAAAACTGAACATAGGGGACTCTTTATTTGGTATCTGCAAAATACTTTCTGTATTCAATTATAAAAATATTACAAACTGCTCAGTTCAGCTTTTCATTCTGACCAGTTGGCACATCATCATATTCCAACTTTTTACATTTCTCTGTGTTTCAATTAAAATTCAGTTTGCCTAGCAGTCTGTTTCAATTAAAATTCAGTTTCTCTATACAGGGGGAAACATTTATTTTTCTGGTGGATTCTATTTTTTTCCTAGTTTAAAGTATGATTCTATTAATGATTTGAAGGATATCTGTATATTATTTGTTTTTAAGACCAGAAACTATGCTTACTGGTTTTCTTGATAACTTAAGTTTGCTATTTTGTTAGGTTTATAACTATACTAATCACATCAGAGGATCTGTTTGCTCCAGTACATTACTCAAGGATTATTATTATTATTTTGAGAAAAGGGAATATTTTAGACATAGGGTTCATTCTATAGGATGAATCTCATAGGACTCAGAACAGAAATAATTATTTTTGCTGTCTGTAACCGTAATAAACATTTGATTTGAAGTAACTGTTATTTCACATTAAAACTAATATCCAATATGTACTTTTAATTATATTTGATGGAATTTAAGTTTCAAGCAAAAATATTTTCAGTTGTAGACTTACTTAAATTTCTAAAAGATGATTTGATTATAAAGTTTTTTGAAATAATTGCAGATATAAAACAAAACAGGCATGTAGAATAGATTGTTTAATTGATGGATTTATTATGGCTATTATAACAATTAAAATGCAGCTTTGTGATGCCTTTGTGACTTGACGACTTAAACTGCGCAAATGGAGCAACCCTTCGATATCAGTGGAACTTCTTTCCGAGTAGTTTATGCAATTAACGGTTTAAGGCTTAACAAATCCCCAAACTGATTATTTAGAGGGGAAGGCGCAAGACAAGCTGTCCATTAATCCTGGTATTCTGTTTATTACTAGACCAACCTTCATGGCCGCTCTTTTCTGTAAACAAGGAAGGGATTTTCCCATCTTATCTCCGTGCCCGTAACCATACCGAGGAGAGGGCTGCGTAAGCTTTCTTCGGTCCGGGCAACATGCGCAACGTGGAAAAACGAAGCTTCCCATAATGCAAACGTGCACACGCGCCGCACTTGCAGGGAGAGAAAGCTGAGAACTACATTTCCCAAATGGCATTGGGGCTGAAAGTCTCATGTGCGTCCCCTCCCCCTCCATGATTTCTAAGCGGAGGTAAACAAACTGTGAAAGAGGCAGGGACGTACAGTATCTGCTGCAGAAGGCGGAGAAAGCGATAGATCTTTGGGGGAGAGGGCTTGCACGATGGATGCAGGGGCAGCATCGAGATAGAGGAGGCGAAAAGTGTGGGGCCACGAAGGAAAGGGGCAATAGGGGGCAGAATGCAGGAGTAGATTAAGAAGAGGTTAGAGGACAGATTAAATGTTTGGGGCACTGAGAAAAGGGTATGAAGCTGGATCGGGCTCAGTGCTAGAGATTTAAAGGAGAAGAAGACGAATAGCCAAGACCAAAGGGGGAGACAGTCTAGGGACTAGGAGTTGTGGGAAGGGTCTCTGTTATTGCCTAGAGGTAAAGAAATGAGATCTTTCTGAAGTAGGATGTGGCCATGAGTCAGGGTAACTGCTGCAGTAGTTGTTCAGTTCTTTTTTACGCCTCACTGATTAACTTCGTAAAAGCAGGACAAGAGGCACCCTTTCTCCAAGTTACTCGTTTCCTACCTTATTCTTTTTCTCTCTTGGAAAGATCAGAGAACTAAGGTCTATTTCACCCATAGTGCCAGGGGCAAAGCAGCAAAGTCCTCCTTCACAATTGTTCGGGGAAAGGTTTCATCCATCTCAAGGGCTATGGAGCGGGTAGAGATGATCAACATCCAGCGCCTTTTGGAGGCAGCCGAATATCTGGATCGCAGAGACCGAGGTAACACCTTTTGAGGAAGGGGCAGGAATTGAGGTGGCCCATCCGCCTGGAAATAAGTCCAACTTAATTTGTTTTGAAAGAAGCAGTTGCTTGGGGAGAGGGGGAAAAGTGGGGCCAAAGTGATTCACGTGTAATAGATGGAGAATTGTGAGCAGTGTCAGAATGTCTTTTAATGTGTTCTGGATTTGATCAAGAAGTTTTGATACAGACATTAAAGTTGTCTTGGACATACACTGGAGAGCCAGTTTGGGATAGTGATTAATGTCAGTAGTATATACAAAGTGGGAGACTGTAACTTCTAGTGCTGTCTTAGCAATGAAATCAATTTGCTGACTTTGGGCCATTCACTCTTTCTCAGCCTTAGGAAGAAGGCAATGGGAAACCACTTCTGAAAAAGAGAGAAAACTGCATGCAGTCACCAGGACTGACTCAAAGGGATTTGGACTCTAAGCTAATCAGCCTTATCTGAACAGGTGCATTGCCTGTGGTTTTTATGTTTGAGTGTTCTCACGTTTGTTTAAAGCTGAGAGTGCTGCCTGAGAAGTCATTCAGGCTCGGCTAGTGTTGTCTTTGGAAAATACTGTTTCTTACTCACTCTTCCTTCTGTTTCCATTTGATCATAATTTATGCAGAGTGTGAACATGGGTATGCCTCAGCCTTCCCTTCCATGACAAGTCTTGGGCTGCAGGACCCAAAGCCACTGCAGAGACTGAGCCGGTCAAGAAAGCATAGCAGCGGAGGCAACAGCACAGGCACCACAAACAGGTAACAGTCTGAAAAGGACTTGAAAAGGAGAAATTGTTACAATATATAGGCACAAATATTTCATGCATCCATCAGGGAGAATAGATTATATTTTATTTGGCACTTTTGCTAGAGTTCCCCTTTCCTCATAATCTTGCTTCCCCAGCCCTTGATGATCTGCAAGTTTGTGGCTTTTAATAGAAGAATTGACCAATGTGGTATTGTGTTAGCTGCCTCTTTAAATCTTGCAGAACCAGCTTGTTAGCTGAGTATGTAATGCCTTGTTCCTGCAGGTTCCCCACGCTCATTTTATGTAACTTGCATCATCATTGAAAGCTTTCCCAAGTAGCTGATTTTACTCCAGAGAGACTAATATTAATCTAGGGGGAAATCCTTTGCATTTTTATTCTGAAATGTATCCCACTGTATTCAGTGGAGGTATGGGGATTCCACACCCCTCTGCCCAGGTATGTATGTTAAATCTGTAGTTTAAATATTTTCACTTAGAGAGCAAAAACAGACTTGGAGTTTTAGTTCAAGTCATATTTGCTTGAACACCATTTGAAGATGTTATTTGATAATGTATTATTTTGGTGCAGACTTTTTCATTTTTGGTAAAATGCAATTTATAATCTGATGGATTATGAAACCTCACATTGAATAGTGTATTAGTCTGATAATAGAACCTGCTTTTCTGTCCCTCGTGTGGTGTGTTCTGTGTATGTAATAATATCAGGCTAACAAACCAATTGATGGAAAGTGTGAACAAAACAATTATAATATAATAGAGTTGTGTTCCAGGGGATAAATATATTTTGTAGATTTGCAGAGTGCTTTATGCCAAAGGCTCACTCACTCACTATTATAGCAACAATATTTTCCAAAAATATAACCTTTCTAGTGCTCTCTGTTGGTGATATATTAGCCATTTTAATCAAATATGACTCTACCTTCTGAACAAAAGGCACTTGTTTACTTATTTAAATATGTGATTTGGAGAATTTACTAAAAATCATTGCTGCAGAAACACAATAACATTAAAACTAAATGATGCCTTCAAAATTAGTCCTTTCTAATACTGCAGTGCCATATGTGTAGTATCTGTAGTGATGACATTTCAGCTGCATCCTATGTCAAATGAAACAAAACAAAAAGTCACACAGCTTCATGTACAGGTAGTCCTCAACTTACAACAGTTCATTTAGTGACTGTTCAAAGTTACAATGGCCCTGAAAAAAGTGACTTATTGTTGTTTTTCACACTACGATCATGTGACCACAGGGATGCTACGACATTTGTAGCATCCCTATGGTCACCTGATCAAAATTCAGACAGTTAGCAACTGATTCATACTTATGACCTTTGCTGTGTCCCAAGGTCACGTGATCCCCTTTTGCAACCTTCTGATAAGCAAAATCAATGGGGAAGCCAGGTTCATTTAACAACCATGTTCCATGCAGGGATTCACCTAACAACAGTGACAAGGTCACTGTTGGAACAAGGTTCACTTAACAAATGTCTTGCTTAAGAACATAAATTTTGGGCTCCATCGTGGTTGTAAATCGAGGACTACTATACTTCCACAGATAGGAATTCTGCCTTAGGTGTTGCTAATCAAGGAAAAAGGACCTCAAGGAATTTTCCCCCTTAATAATATGGGTATGGGAAAATGTAAGAATGCGCAAAGTAAAGATTTCCCTTGTTTTTATTCTTTTCCTTTTTTGTGTGCATATCTTGCAGTGACTGTTTTAACAATAAACAAGTATTGTAAATAAACAAATGAGGATAAAAGAAGCAAACTTTGAAGTGCCATCCATAAAGCCATCAATAAAATTAATTTTTATTTATTTATTAAAACATTTTTTATACTGGCTAAATCACCAGGCTCAGGGTAGTGTGCAAAAGGAAAATATAATTAAAACATATATCAAAGAGCTTGACACAATACAATGTGACCCCAAAGTACATACAGAAATGTGTAAAGGCATATGACAATAATAATAATGGCAGCCAAGTCACCACTCATCAAACTTCCTGCCTTGTGAGATGTAATGAGGGAGGACCAAGCGTAGCCCTGGAGCTACATTGTTTTAAAATCATTGGGGCTATTACACAGAAAGTCATCTTTCTGTTCCACAACATTTGTACCTTCCTTGCAGGAGTTTAAGGAGTCCCTAACATAACAGGCTGAATCATCTGAGAAAAGATGGACCCTGATATAATTCAGAGCCATTCTGTAAAAGGTTTTACAGGTAAAAAGTAGCATTTGGAAGTCTATTGGTAACTAGTGTAGCCATCAAAAGTTGGTGTTACGTTGTAGTAGTGAATCTCATTTGCCATTAGCTTGCTTCCTGCATGCTGCTGTTAATTTCTGAGTGGTCTTCAAAAGCCACCCCATCTAGAGTACACTGCATAGTCATTCCATGTGGTCATACTTGCATGAGTTACTTCCATCAGAGCTTCCTGATCTCTTTTAAAACAAAATTAAAACTAGTGCATCAGTCTAGGCTGAGTGAAGGTTTAAATAAATACTCCTATTAATAGGGTAGTATAACTGCTATATTATTTATTTTGTATACATTTATGTATATAAATAGTATTCATTCTTTAGCCAAAAAGTCTCACATGGGAGTTTATGAAGTATTACATATGTAACAGTTCTGATATTTAAGTGTTTTAAAAGCAAGAGACAAGGAAACATATATAGGGCAAACAAAAGAAAAATTAGGGCTCTGTTCTCAAAAATTATCATTCTTATAACAATCATCCAGGAAAAATATTTCAGGTAACTGGGTAGAATTGCTATCTTTGGCCCAACTTTGGTTGGTATCTTAGCAGGAAATAAACTTTTACAGAGCTCATTTATAATAGGATGTGTGTCCCTGCCATTCATGATGACACATGGAAGTTTGTTCTTTCAATATATTTTTCCACTGTCTGGTCTGCCGGTGCTAAGTGTAATGGTGAGACAAATATGTGGTCTGTACAGTTTGGTTTGCAAAATATATGCTTCAAAGAATTTGATACACAATTGCATTAATATTTGATTAAATTTAGAATAAAACTAATGGATCCCAGCAGCAACAGCTGAATTCTGGGACTAGCAGCACTGACCCATATTTATTTTTTATTTCTTTTTAAAAAATATTTATCCCTTAATAGCAGCAGCTTTTAGTTACATGTAATAATACACTATTATAGTAAATAGAAGCAAACAATAAAACAATCAATTAAAAGCATCAACAACTAAAATAGTGGTAATATACTTATTAATGTACCACAAAACAGAACCAAGGAAAATTCAGAACTTCATTTAGATAAGATAAGAATACATTTTATCATTTCTGTTGAATCTTTTTTTGTTGACAGGGAAGACAACAACAAATGGTGAAATAAACTATTTATGGTTTTGGAATTAACAGCTATTGTTGTCTTAGTTGCTCTTTTGCTGTTTGTCTCTGGCTTACTATGACTACATGAGTTGAAAAGAAAGAATTATTTTTTTTCTCAGAAATTCTCCCCCCCCCCCATCATAATTTGCACATTGCTGAGGGCACTTGAAATTTTCTTACTATTCTTATTTTAACTTTTTTATTCTAAATCACTTCAAGTAGTTTCCACTAGCTAATCTCTGATACTAAAACTGAACACAGTATACATAGGAACCGGTTTTTGAAGTGATATAAAATAGGCAAGGGGCATACAAGATATTTTTAGCCTCGTAGTGTAAAGCACCGTAATCTCCTTTTCTTGCTCAATTTTTAATTGCTTCAATTGGATTTATATGGGAGTAAAGGCTGGTAAATTGCAATCTCAGTAGTTCTTCCATAGTCAAAGAATTGTTGCATCGCAGGAAATAAAAACAAAACAAAACTCTACATGAATGCAAACTGGTGCTTTTTCCAATGTATAATCAGGGTTAATGAAATTTAAATGGGCTGTTGTGTAATCCAACAATCTAACTGGATTCAGAAAAGGGCACAACAAATTGAAGATAAGAACACTGACAGAAACAGGAGGTACAACCTCATGCCCAGCTTGTATACAAAAAATGGAAGCGTGCAACTCAGAGTGAATTGCTTTCTGCAAATCTGGGATGGTTGTAAAATTTCATCCAAACATCTTAATAGTGAAGTGCTAAATCAATGTAGCGTTATAATATTTGAGATAATAATTTTGACCAATCATGTGCTAAATGTGTCTTGTTTTAATTTTTGCCAATAATTTCTAGTGGTTGAGTCCATAGATGTTTTTCAAGAATGGCAAAAAAAGACTGGGAAAGAAGAATAGAAGGATTTTTTTGTGTGTGGGTGTATGTCTTAATTCTTACTGTGACTGTTTCTAATATTCAAAGCAGCTTAAAGTTTAATAGTTTATTTATGCATTTCTTATTTGCCTTTCAAAATAATAGTCTTAAAGCAAACTACAATATAAAATTGTAACATCATTCAGAAATTAAGCTATATCTTAAAATGTATAATATTTAAAAACAAACTAATAAAAAATAAGACCATAGAATCTATTCAATTAAAAACCAAAGACAATAAATAAGCATATATTAAAATAAGTCCAGTTTTAACTAACCACATATCTCTTGGAAGGGAATTTCTTAGACTAGTGATAATTTCAAACACAGCTCCCTCTCTGATATCCCTCTAAATGGTGGGCCAATAAGTAGACCCTTTAGTAACTAAAGGATTAGTTACTCCTTTAGTTGGTCTGGGAGAGATAGAGGTAGTTGGTCTGTGGAAGAGGAAACAGAAGCAGAAGCAGAAAAAGAAAAAGAAGAGTTGCTGGTGATATAGAAGGAGTTAGAAGCAAAAAAGGCAAAGAGCCATTAATGACAGAAAAGGTTTCCTATCTCTTAGCAGGAGGAGAGAAAGGCAAGTTCTTTCATTACTCCTTTCTTCCCAGCAAAAGGGGTCAAAATTACTCTGGTTTTGCTGCTAATGGCACCAAAAATTGGAGTGATTTTCTCCTCTTGGTGGTGGGGATGCATGCTTATGGCTCTCACTTCTGTC